TTTCAGCATGATCAGCATTCTCGCTCAGGTTTTGCATCTCCAATTTCCAGATTCTTCCCCTTTTCTTCTTTTGATCTGGTTTTCGAATTGACATCATTCATTCTTGTTCAGGAGCGTCTCCTTGGCGCCACGCTGGGTAGCGCCTTGACTGGGTTCGTCGTCTTCGAGCAGCGAAAGCTCATCCATGAATCCGTCGCTGATCGTAAATCTCAATCCGTTGATCAATCTCAGGTTTTTGTTTGCTTTTCTTTTTCTCAAATCCCTAGATAGCGTTTTAATTTCCCTCATAGAGTGTTAAATCCTCGGGATTTGGCCATTGATATATACTTAAATCTGGGTTTTGTACGGTCCTTAGATGAATTTCTGTTTAGGGGTTTAGAAGATCCGAGGCTTCATTATCGCACAAGGTTGAACTTGGGGATTTGTCTTTGTTCCAGGTGAGAGATCGCATATTCGGGAAGAAATATCGCATGGAATTTGCATCTCTGTGGAACAAAGCTGTGGACCAGACCTTTGAACCGGCAATTGAATATCTTAGCTCCCGTAAATGGTAGAGATGGAATCGTTTCTTTGCTGAAATGTGATACTTTGACAAGACTCGATTCTTGTCCCTCTTTATGGATCTTCACACTCAGTTGTAAGAATACAGCACTTTTTCCTGTTGGACTACTTCTTTGAGCAGAGTTTTGGTGAAAGTGTTATCAAAGCTTATTTATCGCTTGGCTCAACGATTGAGATGCTTTTGGTATTATGTTAGATTTGATTTGTTATTGGCAGCCACATTCTGTGCAAGGCCGAAAACCTGTTGTTGTATTAGTGTGACAGCAATTGAGGAGCCTGTGGATTGGCCCCTATCTCTTAAATTGCTTCAGTCTTTCATACGTTTTTGACGATGTTCAAGCATTCCCAGTTTTGAATGGGTTAAAAATTTGTGGGTTCTGGCGTCACTATGCTTATGGTGCAGGTTTGTGACTCGGTTCATTAACATGAAAATGGTAGTTGATACCTTTTTCCAACCTATTATTATAACATCTTCTCCTTTTTACCCTGAAAACTATTAAGGTTTGTTCTACTGGTTCTGATGATGCAAAAGCTACCTCAGTCATTTGGAAGAAATGGCAGAAGCAATTTGCTAAAGGAGCTAGAGCAAGCTCGCCAATTCTTCTTCTTACCGCAGTACTTGTTCAGGTGATCACTTCTTCTTTCTTGAATTCCGAATATTTGGTGTAATACAGTTCCACAGCACCCAAGGATCTCAACAAGAGCTCCGAGACACAACCGATCCAAACAGCATTACTTAATAGTATAGTGATAACTTAGCACAATACAAGAACAAGTACACACGAAAATGAGTCTTAAATAGAGTAATTAAGAATTGGGCTGAGGCAGCCTACTATCTGCATGGTCGGAGTATCCAGGGCGAGCAACAGGAGGTGTGTGTCGGTTATCCGGGATACGTATAGCGTCAGCCGAATTGCACGGTACAAGCTCGAGATTCTCGCAGTTACAAATCTCGACCATGAAACCGTCAGGGTCATTGAAGAAGAGCTGGTCGATAGCTGCATCTTTCTGGTCACCCACGGTCCTCTTGATATACTTGACATTGACTTCCTTGAGCCTTTCTTCCAAAGCTTCCATGTCCTCGCACTGGAACGAGATGTGATTGTCCATTGGGTCCAAATGGTCCGGTTTGGATGGTAACTTGTCTTCGTCTTTAACCTGAACCAAATGGATCCCGACACCGTAGTTGAAAAGCCAGGCACCGTCGAAGTCCAGCGATGCGGGTCGTTCTGTCTCCACGAACCCTAACACCTTTGTGTAGAACTCTAGAGATTTTTTGACGTCTGTGCACAGCCTTGAGACATGGTTCAAGGCCATCAATGGCGCTTTCGAGTCATGTTCCTCTTTCTTCTCCATTCGGTTTGGTGACACAAAAGTTTCTCGTCCAGAAGAAAACAAATACCTTCAAGAGCGGGAAGCGGCGGGGATTGAAAGAATGACACGTGACGGGAGGCTGAATGGAGAGTCGCCACGTCTGAGCACACATTGGCTCATGTCTCACACCCTACTCTTCACCTTCACTTCATTCTTCTACTGGATCTGACTTAGGCCCAAACTTAAAAAAATCCGAACCAAACTAAACCGAAATCCCATGCCTAACAGAGACAAATCTTGTTTGTCTACTTTCTTGAACAGAGCAAAGCCTTTTAGTGTTTTACTTAAAGTGTTAATAGAGCTTGTTGTCATTTGGCTTCATCATCGATCATTATAGTATGTTAGATTTTGATTTAAAAATGCGGTAAACAGTCAAATACTATGCTATTAAGTAACCAACGCATATGGAAATTTAGATACAAGCTTCAAGAAAAAAAAAGCACACATTTCAACACAAACGCTACTATGCTCTAATCATGGTTCACATGAGCACGGCAAACGCAAGTCCAAAGATGATCCCAACCACACCATCAGCTCCTATCCCGCTTCTGGAACCAATTGACATTGATGCTATCTCGCTTTCCCGTGCTTGAACCTTGGCAGCCACAGGGAGAGGCGAGCAGCCAGATTCCGCGCAAGGGTCTAAAGTGGCATTCGGGTTATCTGGCTGTGCGTGAAAGAAGTCAAATGCAGAAGGTGAAAATGCCACCGGGGTCTCATAAGCCAACCCGTGAGGAGCTCGGTCTTGCGCTAAGGCCATGTTTGTGATGATTAGAGAAGAGAAGAAAAAGATGAGGCAAGTTTTCGAATTCATTTGTCTCACTAATAAGCTTCTTTTGGTTTCTTTGGAAATGTAAAAAGCTATAATAATAGGTTCTTGAGCAGGTGAGCTAGTGTAGTGTGTTTGTTGAAATTATAAGGAAGGTTTGGTATTTATAAGATGATGATGATTAAATGAAGTGCTTGTTTTCTTGGGATTTATTTTGGTTGGTGAAAAAGATTAATACATTCAGAGGAGGGAGGGGACAATATGATTTCTCTACCTTTTCCCAACATATATTTATTTCCCCCTTTTCTGTATCTATGGTCCTGCAATCTCCTGGTTTAAGTTTCCTAAACCCAAAAGTATCAAGATTTTACTAAACCAAGATTTTGACCACAAAACCACAAAGATTGGTGTTGTGTGGATTAGAGCCTGAATGACTAATTAGAAAATATGAGTACTTATGGTCCCCATAAGATACTTACTTACTACAATTAGTTGTTAGCGTCCTCGACCTTTTTATTTATGGCATCATTAGGAAGTAGGAGCTATCATCAAACTTTGGCATCCTATAATTAAATTCCAGTTCTTCCCTTGAAGGATCAGCAACAATTTTTGTTTTCTTGTGTATTATTTTTATATTTATAATCAAAGTTATGTGAGTGAGTGAGTGTAATAATAACACATGCACCTGCCTTATAACACAACATCGATCGCTTATTTTATAAGGGCACAAGAGGAGGGGTCAAGCATGCATCTCTTACCTTCACGCATGTTGTGAGTTTTGTGCACAAGATTGAATCTTGTATGTTACGTTTTTTTGCCTTTTCTTTTATTCATTAGTTTTGTTGCATGAGATCTTTTAGCTTAACTGGTAAAAGTCTCGGATCTAAGGGAATGTATACCTAGACCCAGAACATCTTAGTTATTAATAAAAAAAAATTAAATAAATAAAAATTTGGTCATGCGTTTTTATGAAATAATTACCGAAAGGTATTATGATTTTTTCTTTCTTTCTCATTTGTTGCACTGCTGACTGTGTGAGTTTATTTATTGTTCATTAGTACTATGCATTGATTACAGATTTCATCATATCGACACTATTAAGATGAAGTTCTAAGTGCTCATTTTATAACATTTGTTAAATTATAATGGACTACATATCCTCTACGAACGAAGTTATAACCGATAATTTTATCCGCACCACAAAAATCCACGATAAACGTTCCTATCTGTTTTGACGGACATCTTATCATTTACACACGAGATCACATCGAACGAATTTTATTTAACCTATGTTGGAGAGTTGAAGATCCTCGCGAAGCTTGTAATCTGCTAATCCGTATGATATCACAATTTGTGTGAATCGAATCCCACCTGTGGTGCAGAGTATTAATGATTGGACCATATATGTAAAGAACTTGTTAGACAAGTTATAATCTTGAATAACTAAGTTTATGGCCTAATACATAAATAAAACTGAAAGAACCTATTATACAATTTCCTCCAAATCTATTAGAACTTGGTAGTTTGCAAAACACGAGAAATGAGTACACAATTTTTCAAATATGATTCTCCTTGTATTTTTTTTTATATTGGAAGTCATTCATTAGTTTTGTATAATCAAAATTTCTTTCTACGAAAACAACTAAAACGGAAATTAATTGTCATCATTATGCGGTACACAATTTATTTATGAGAAATTTGTATATTAGTCTTTCCACCTATAATTTATTATCTAACTTTATATAAAATAAAATTTACTAACTAGCATTTAGTCCACCTAAAATATCAATTTTACCTTTTTGTAATTGTAAAGTTTTTTACACTTAAAAAAAAAGAAATTAAAACACTAATCTCTATTATTCATCTTATCATCATCTCCTTCTTCTTTCCTCTTCTCTCACGGTCGTACC